GAGAGAGAGAGAAAGCTGTCCCGTTAAGAGGGGGATGGCCCTTTTAATCGCGGTTCTTTACGCAACGTGCGTAGACGCGCTCCTCCGGCGATCGCTATTAATTGCTTTAATTGCAAAGATAATTAATACGTCGCTCTACAATAAAAACACTTAACCGGGCGATCCGAGTATAATGGGCCGCGGACTTTTATTTGTCCCGATACATGCTATATATACATATGTATATATATATATATATATATATAGAGAGAGAGAGAGAGAGAGAGAAAGATGTATAAAACTCGCTTCGATTACTTTCAAAGCCGAGCGGCGTCGCCTTTACGGCGCGGCTCGACTCGGCCTCTATCGGAGTGAGAGTATTAATTGCTGTAATTGCAAAGATAATTGATATTCCGTTCCATTGGAAGCGGCACCATCGTCGGGGAAGGACCCGGGGCGAGCGCCGGGCGCAGCCTTTCACATTGAGATTTTAACCTGATTTGAAAAAAAAGGATGTCGGGACGCTTTTCAGCGCTCTCTTTAAGACGAACCGCTTGCCGACGAGTCCAGTACGCGCCATTATCCGCTCGTGAATTCCGGCGAAAAACTTCTCTCTCTCTCTCTCTCTCTCTCTTTCTCCCCCCGTTGGCCCCTTTAATCAACGATTACAGATATTCGCAATATAAAGATTATATCGAGAGAGAGAGAGAGAAAGAGAGAGAGAAAGAGAGAGAGGCGGAGGGAGAAATAGCAAAATCAGATACTAAGTTTTTCACCGTTAGGACGAGATCTATACGAAATTGAAGCCGTTTTAATCACACTTTCGAAACTTGGAGGCTCGTTTGAGGTAGGAACGGGTCGACTAGAGCCTCAAATTTGCCTCCTTTTATCCCTTTGTTTCGTTACCTCGATCGATTGAATATCGAGAAGTCTTCCTGAATTTTGAATATACATTTGCGCCTCGCTGAAGAACGCGTCGCTCGTAACTTGAAGCTCACTATTAGGGAGGATCTTCGCTCTCCCTCTCTCTCTCTCTCTCGCTCACTCGATTCGTACGACTCGACTTCGGTCTTACTTGGGTAAGGGAATTAAAACTTGGAGACGCAACATTCGGGCTGGAATTGTCAAAACTAGATTACAAATATCTCTTCCGGGAGTTCGAATTGTCGCCGCGGCGGTCCCCTCCCGCTCGTCCCACCGATCGCACTTTTATCCGACGAAAAATCGACGCTCTCAATTTTGCCGGACTACTACCACTGCTTCGTCTATATCTCGGCGGGGGAAGAGGACGAAAAAAAAAAAGTTGGTGAAATTTAATAATAAAATGTTCGCAGGTACACGCGCGTACACGAAAATTCCGGGCCGGGGCCGCCGTCTCCCTCTCTCTCTCTCTCTCTTCCTCTCCCGAGCGGATTAAATAATTTCGGATTCAAGGGTCGCGCTGGCCGGGCGGCGCGGTCGTGCCGTTAAATATCCCGAAATTAATTAATAATTTAATTCGCGGTGACGGCGGAATCGACGGTTTCGATTTTCAGACGACGACGACGACGGTGACGGCGCGCGCGCGCGCGCGCGCGAGAGAGAGGCGTACTTTAATTAACTCGTGGACGTTAATTTCGCTTAACTCGCGCGACACGCCGGACTTCGTTCAAGGCATCACACAGTCGCGCCGTATGTCGGCCGCTATTGATACGCGCGTCCGCGCGCTACCGTTGCTCCTGCAGCTGCACTCCGGCAGAGCTCTGAGCCCCGAGGACGACGACGACGACGACGGACGAGGCTCGAGCGAGCGAAACGAGAAGGAAGGCGGTGCCCGGCGGCCGCGTTATAGAACGGCGCATCAATTGTTGGAAATGCGGGACACTATCGCGACGAAGCATCGTGATTATTCCTTGACAGCCACTGTTACGCGCGTGTGCCGCTGTGTGCTGCCGCCGTCGTCGCTGTTGCTGTTGCCGGCGCGCTGTTTCAGTAAAGCGCCGGCATACGAAGCGCGAGATCCAGCCGTGCTGGCGCGTACACGTCACGTCATCGCCGCTCGCCGAGGGTGGATGGATAGATAGAGGGAAGGGGAGAAGGAGCCCTTCGAAAGTGACGGGCAAGAAATCGTATCCCTCGCGAAGCGACACGACGCTGCGTTGTCTAAGCTGGACGCCCACGCATTTTACTTCGCAACGCGCTATTTATTTAACACGTTCCACGGAATATACAGACCGCTCTGTAATTCCGCGGGGCGGTGATTATCTTATAGAATTAATTGGACGGAATGGCGGTGCGAGAAGGGCGTGGGAGGATGGGATTGCTCTGAAATTCTATAAGATAATTACTATTCCTAATTATAGCGGAATTTTATCCCCCGCGTGCCGAATATCGATCTCGGTAAATTAACCACGGTCGTATCCGAATCACCCGTCGAAATTTATACATATCTATATATGTGTATTTAATTTACGGAATTAGTACTCTTTAGTATACGAACGAGTGAACAAAGTGCGCATATAATAGATACGGAAATAGAAATGGAATAAGTGAACGCGAGTAATATTTATAAAAAGGGAATAATCACTGTAAAAGAATAAGATACACGAGCAAATGCTAATCGTATAAAAGGGCATGTAATAAACTAAAGCAAAATGCATCAATCGAGCCGTGAAATAAATCAATAAACTTTGAATATTAAGAGTTGGATAATATATAAATGCAATTGATATTATTCCAATATGAAATGTATCGAAAAAATAAACAGTTCTAGAGGATGCATGTAGACTGAAATAACGCAAAATTTCAGGACACATAATGCTGTGATCGAGAAAGTTGCATATAAAAATTAAATCGAAGAATATATGTTTTTTCTCCAACTATAAAAATGCATGTCGCAGCAATTCAAATTGATAGTCGTGACAAGTCACAGGCATGAGGGAGGGGGTCATTCAAGGAGTGACAAGAAACCGATGCCGAATTCTTTCAATCAAGACACAATATTGAATCTATATTGATATAGACACAATATTGAATCAATATTGATATAGAGACCGTGTGACAAACCCATATATTCGAGATGTGGACGAACAAGCGCCATCTATAGGGTTCTGAGAAATAGTTATGTTTTTAAAATACTTAAAAGTTTTATAAATAGGACCGAGAGTCCCATAAGCTATGCCCACAACTGTCTTGACGTGGTGCCCAAAGAAAAAGTCAAGTTAAAATAATACCAAGGTCAAGAAAGTATAAAACTACGTTAATCATACGGTCTCGTTAATCATACAGTCAAAAGACATACGTGTGGCTAATCCATGATTAAAACTACTGACGTAACACTTGGATGTATTAAGATTAGATAGTATCACTCATCCTACGCCAGTTCACCAGCCTCGTGAAATCCTCTTGCAACTGACACGCATCCTCACGGCACCGAATATTACGAAAAATCTCCTACTATTCACTTTAAATCCGCACGCTTGTTATTTTTCGTTAACTTCGCCGGATTTTCGGAAAACAGACTCCGGTCTTTTCTAATCGCTCGCGCGAATTCTCCTCCTTCCTTTTGTCCGCTCGGACCAGGCACAATCGTGAAAGAAGGAGAGAGAGAAAAAGAAAGAGATATCAGAGGTCGATCGTAAAAAGTATACGCTCGCGCGTTTAACGATAATCCGTCGTTCATTCTGTATCGGGTGGACGGTAAACATGTTCCCGCGCATACGCGGTAAATGGGCTACCACGTTTTCTTCCCACGCGTCGTTTCTTACCCAACGTGGCGCGATCAATAACGGAGGACTCCGAGGCAGAGAGCGTGTATCGATTGCCGGGAGCAACAATTATTACTAACCAATACTTTCGCGTGGCGCGCGTCGAAATTAGCGCAGGCTTCCGCGAGTACAATGTACTCGCGTGAACGAGCGAGCGGACGAGCGAGAGCGCGTCCAAATCTTTTCGTACAGACCGTGAATGTGGATTAACTTAGCGATAATTAATCCGATAAGTGCATTAAACACTCCGAGCGATATTGATATAATTCAATTGACCTCGTTCTCCAGGCCCCTCCCCCNCCCCCCCCTCCTTCCCCGCACGTCCTTCCTTGTGCATATTTTATTCATTCTTCGAGAATATTATTCCCCCACTTGCAATCGACCACTGATATAACCCAACTCGCGTTCTTCTTCTCGGTCTACGGTTATCTCTCGCTGAACGCTCGATTTCTAAATAAGTAAGTGAATAATGCGATTCTTTTCGGTCCGTTATTCGGAGCTATTCGCGTACCGTCCATGTATTCGCAATAATACAATTTACATCGGGACGTTGCAAAATATATAATCCTCGCGTTGACAGTCATTCATGTTAACCGTCGAAGCAACGGGACCCGATATAAAGACAGGCAGTTGGCATCGAGGAGAGCAGGAAATGATAACATGATTTTTTCGGAGAGGAAAACGAAGCTGGGTTACTATGCAAATCTTATTTGAACATTAGCACTTGAAATTAGCGGTGACGAAAATTTAGAGCATTTAATTAACGATATTAATAACGAGGAAATTCGAAACGTATTTTATTCGTCTTTCCCGACGCTCCGGGTTACTTCGAAAGCGGAAAACCTGAAATTTGACGCAATAATGAAACCAGATGACAGCCCAGAAATTTGCTACTTGCGAAATACCGGCCCAGTACCGATTTGTGGTATACGTCAGTAGTGGTTTTATACCGGGATGACAGAAACGGGCCTGTATCTTAACAGTACCGAAAATCAGTATCTCAATTATTCGTTCCAAAATATTCCTCACAATTTGTCCAACATTTATCATAATCTTCCTCGATCTGCCGGACATTTAAACATTTACAAAATATTTAATATCTATATTGTTTTAAATATTTTATAAATATCGTCAGTGTGAAAAAGACACGACGTCTGTTTTTAGCGCCGTGCCGGAATTCTGTATCGGCGGACTATACACGATTCCTACGATGAGAAAGTAAGAAAGGTAATGAGGAAAACACATTATATTGACCGAGGTTTCTGTTGGCCGCAGGAGACCAAGAGGCCGTCGAAGGAGATGCAGGTGACAATCGCGAGGCAGTTGGGCCTGGAACCGACGACGGTCGGTAACTTCTTCATGAACGCTCGACGCCGCTCGATGGACAAGTGGAAGGACGAAGACCCGAAGACGGTGGCGGTCGAGGAGGAACAGTTGTCGCCCACGATAGGCATCGGCCAGCGCCAACCGAGCGACGTTTTGTGACACACGTCCGACCACGAGGAGTACCACGACGAGTCGCCCGAGGAGGACCTGCCCTTCTCGTAAGGGCGGGGAAAACCACCTCGCGGGACGTGTTCTCGCCCACGCGTTCGATCACGAGGTTCTTCGTAACTTTCGCGAGTTCCCTTTGAATAATCCTTCTCGGCGGTGCCATCTCGACGCGCCTCGCAGGCACGCCCCTTGATTTCCGCAGCACTTGTCAAATCGGTACTTAACTCATTCGTTCGCTCACGGTGCTTGGTTCGTTCGTTCGTTCGTGTGATACGATTAAGTTTCTGTTAAGCGTCTATTGCGTTGTTGTCGATCACGCCGATTCACTCGAGTCCGCCGCCGGCGAAGAATGGCGGAGCGGACGGTGCGGAGGCGGAATTTGCCGAGTCGTGTGTGATCTCCGTGAGATTCGGGCGACCCGATCACACGGACGATTATTCCGCGTCCGGGAGTAATCTTCGTTTCACGTGAGAAATTCTCCGTTGTCACCCTCTGATTTGCCCGCCGAGAAGGAAGCGAGTCACACGCCGAATTGACGAACGGCGAAGACATCGAACCCTCGGAGATCGCAGGGGGCGAGGAGGCGTCCCAGCCGCTGATTGCGATCCGATCATCACGGTCTTTCCCGCAGATTACGTCTTACAGAATCGAATCTTGCGTTCTCGTTCCTAGTTAGTGTATCGGCCGATCCCCGCGGAGGCTCCCAAGTCAATGCTCAGAGTCGAGCGACTCGCCCGCGCGCCGAACTCGCGAAGAGCCGCGAACATCGCGCGACCGTCCGATCGCGATTTCTCCGGTTTCGTCCTCGTCGAAACAGGGACAGCCGTGCGTGTTCGCACCGATACAATTTCGCGCGCGCAGCGTACAAGCAAAGCCGTGTCTCGACCGTCGAAGCGTCCTGTAATTTTAAGTAGCACCACCGGATAAAGAGTGAGAAGGAAAGAGAGATAGACAGAGATAGGTGGAGAGAGAGAGACGATCATTCACGCGGCTCGTCCGCGTCTCGGCTTTGAGCAGCTCTCGCAAACTCCGTGCCATAGTTTGCCATATTAGCGTATAAGTTGTTCCGATTAGCACGCGGGCCTCCGACATTTTTTCCCTCCGTGCGTTTCTAGTCCCAATGAGCGCGTGTACGTGGCCCTTTTCCACGAGGACGGATAATCGCGAGGCGAGCCCTCAATGTTTCTTCTAGTCAAAATTCGGAAGCTCCTCGCTTCGAGGGTCGCTTGCGCGAGAGTGCCCGGCTTTCGAGTTCGCGAGTTACGCGTACGTGCGTCGCGACGGAAACGCGACGTTCTAGTTTGTAACGCGGGAGTCGTCCGCGACCCGTCGACTTTTCCGTCGATTTTGTTGTCTCCTTTTGTCCCCCCCCCCTCCCCCGTNCCCCCCCCCCCCCTCCCCCGTTTTCCCTTCAAGCGCGTCCCGCGCAGCCGGTAAGTCTCGAGGACGCGAATATCTCTCGCGTTCGTCGCGCGGAACTCCCGCGAGACGGTCCGACAATCGTGCGAGCGATCGTGTTTCGCCGCTTTTCTTCTCTCTCGAGCCTCGAGATCGGCCCGCTGCGACGCGACTCTGTACACGGCGATCGAGAGGGAATCCTTTTGATCCCGTCTCAACGAAGTTATTTCGTTCGTAATTGCGCGAACCTGTCGAATTCCCATGTTGAAAAGTCGGCGGTTCCTCGACGCAGGACGCGCGTTCTCGCTCTTTCTCTCTCTACGTCCGTCTCCGTCCGCGTCACCAGCGAAGTCGTCTTTTTCCTCGACGCGAATCTCAATCGCGACACTCTCTCGACGTCGAGTCTGTCCGATGAAATCCGGAGAGTGACGTCTCTGTTCTACCATTAACGATTCGCTGCAAATAACGAGGAAGAGGAGGGACGGAGGGAGGAAGAGCGTGACTTTTAACGCGTATCATCCTGCGTTTACTGAGTAAAAATCGAATCGGTCGCCCGTCCCCCCTCGCGAAAGGGGTTAATCGGCGTTTTTGACGAGTGAACGAAAGAGAGAGAAAGAGAGAGAGAGAGAGAGCGGGGTTTGATGATGATCGCGCAATCAGCGGCGCCGAATGCGCGACCGACTCGTCGTGTCCCTCGTTGGTCAGACGAAACGTGAACCAATTTTCAAAGTGGCTTCGTGTGAGGGTGCACGTGCCACACACAAGTGATATATATATGTATGTATAAACATGTATATCAGAGTGGACGCTCTTTTGTGCGAACCGATGGCGAGAGGCGGTAGCAGGGAGGAAGAGAGAAAGAGAAAGAGAGAGAGAGAGAGAGAGAGAGCAATTTTTAAAACGGATGGTTGCACCACAGTGTACGAGAAGGAGAGAGAGAGGACGATAGTGTGAGCGAGAGTGAGTGTGAGAGAAAGACAGTGTGAGAGAGAGAGAGAGAGAGAGAGAGAGAGAGATAGAGAGACTTTGCGAGCCGCACTCGATATCGTACTGCAATTGTGCTGTGCTATTGTACATATTAAAAAAGGAAAAGGAGTACACGCGAGATACACACATACATTCACACACAGAGACACACGCGACATGTAACCATACACACAACATATACATATAATTTATATACGTATACGTGTGTATACAGATAGACACACACACACACACACACACACACACACACACACTTTTATTACGTAAGCGACGTTCGCTAAAGCCGGGCGAAAACGAATCGGTGTGACGTTTGATTGCAGAAAAGTGCATTCCAACCGACTTGCATCCCGCGTGGTTCTCGCGTAGGGGATCCTTTTTTGAGCTTCGATGCAACGTCGCGATCGGCGAGCGATCGGTTTTGCGAAATTTCGTACATCGGACCACATTGAGTGGGCGATCGGAAATGTAAGGAATTTCCGATGAAATTCGACGATAAAGAAATTCTTTCGCAAATGCACGGCGTCTGACAAATCGTAATTTCAATTTTCACAACGACCAACCTGGATTTCGATCGATTTGTAACGGATTTTTCCTCGGAGGAAACATCCAAGAGTCAATACTTTGAGAATCACAAGCGATTGCCAAGGGAAACCAAATATTTTGCAAACCAATTTTCAGGTGCGAACCTGAACGGAAAGGAAAAGATAATGAACGACAATATCCCTCGATAAATTTCACGCGAATCTCAAGAGAACGCCGATCTGAGGACTCTGGTCGTACAAAATGAATGATTGAAAAATCAAAATACGAAGAATCGCACGATCGCCGCGTTCGCCTCGGAATTACGCAATCGTTCGTCTCGGGCGCGCGCGCGAAAAGGGCGTCCTTTTCGCGCGCGCACGCAAGATAGCCGTGCGCATGTTCACGGCGATGTTACCTACGGCATGTTACTTAATTTATTTTAGGATAGATGAAAGCGTCGGCGCGTCCGCGGCTTTCGAAGCCACCACGGTTTCGTCATCGTCACAAGCGCGTGTAATTTATTGTGTGATAATTTTGTAAAGTTACATCTCGACCCCCTTTAGTGTGTGCATGGCGACCTCGAGGTATGTTACCGCTTTCGTGCAACAACAGCAGCAGCAGTAGCAACAACAACAACCTCCTCTCTGAAAAGAAAACTATGAACACACGACACGCGAGAAAACAAATCCGGGAAGAGGAAGAGGAGGATGGAGAGGAAGGAGAAAAGAGGATGAAGAGGAAGAGGACGAAAGAAGAAGAAGAAGGAATCAGAGTACACCGACACGTTCTCCTTGTTGCACCGTTAATTAGCGTTTCCCGAGCGAGCAAGCGCTCTTACTTGATTATTTATTGCTAATTTATCACGAACGGTCTCAAATAAACGGTCATTCAAAGCGAGCATTGGTTCTTGGAGTGTTTGGAGACTCGGAGTGCTCCGGAGCGCGGATTTCTCCCAATGGCGGCGAATCGGCAGTCGGCTCGGCACGAGAGAAAAGGACTCTCGCGTCCGTTTTCCATCCGTGTGACGGACGCACAAAGATACACGCGTACACGTGTATCCCTCGCGTTGTTCCCGAACGGAAGAGGGACGCGAAGGGTCCTCCTTGACGCGGCGGAGATAAGGAACCCACGGTACCAAGAATGTTGCGAGCGGCCTCCTCGGTCGTCGCTTTAAGATCATATATAGTACAAAGTAAACATATATTATTGTAATAACGGTTTAATTATATATATATATAAATATATATATATATATATATATAAATATATAAGAGAGAGGGAGCGTCGCTGTTTCTCGGGGGAAAGAGAAGGAGGAAGAAAAAGTGAGAGTGTTCAAAGTGATAGGACTCGGTTTTAAGAGATTCGGGGAGAAGGGAGAAGCAGAGCGGGCTGGGTAACGCCAACGGAATCTTCACGGAAGTTCCCTCTCGTTCTCGAGACGATTGTGTCTCGTTATCAGAGGCATGCGACGATAACGCGAGCGCGACAACGCGCTCTCGGCGAGGATCCCCCGACGGAGTTCACCGCCACGTGGCCGAGAACGGGCGAACGTTACGCGCCTCTCGTGTTCCTACGCCATAGTTCTGAATCCTACTCGCAGATTTTGCGTATTACGGCGATTTGTAGGCGCAATGATTAACGAGCTCGTCGGCGAATCGGTACATCCGGTGTGGTGAGGAAAGAGATCGCTCTTCGGCGTTTTGTAATTTGTTATTTCGCGAACAATTCGGACGATAAGGCGCAAGGGTTAATCTCTGAATGATCTCGCTGTGAAAAGTAACGTCGGGACTAAATTCCGCTAGGGGGTATTTTAATTCCGTGGGAACGAAATTACGGAACTACGTCTATCGATTTGCGGGAACTATGGCTCAAACGATAAAGGCGAAGGTCGGAGGTCGGAGCGTCATTCGATCGAAGGAGTTTTGAGACACGTGGTAATACGCGTATTCATCCACTCACACACACACATACACAGACACGTACCACCCGTACACGTACACATGGATACACACATACACACGCATACACATGTAGACGCATAGGCACACGAGAGAAATGCGTGTACACGAAAACGTGGCGAGCAGAATCGACGTGTACGATAAAAGTGTAAATACAATTTAGTCGCGCGAGGAGGGTTCATTATTACTACTGCGATCGCTATTACGACGACAATGATTATTAATTAATGCGCGACGAGGGGCGCGAGGTGTTTTTGTTATATAAGAGAAACTAAGAACGTAAACGCCGTAGCAGAAGAGAAGCAACCCATACACACCCTAGGAGATAAAACGAGCGAGACAGTGAGAGAAAAAGGAGCAAGTGCGTAGAAAAGAACACATATATATATAAATATATAAATTGATATACGATAAGATATTATATATATATAAATATAAATATAAATGCAAATATAAATATAAATACAAATATAAATATAATATATAAATGCAAATATGAATATAAATATGAACATAAGTATATATATATAAATAAATTATATATATTATATTATATATATATACATATATATACATATATATATATATATATATATACGGATATATATTATTACCGCCGATCATGGTGGACGGTGTTGATCGTCGCGAGGGCGATTATCGAACGATCTCCGAGTAGATCGATCGATAATGACCGTTACGCGTCTTAAATTCGAGCGAGAGAGTATGAGTGCGTGTAAGTGTGTATGAAAGAGAGAGAGAGAGAGAGAGAGAGAAAGCGAAAAAAAAGAGAGAAAATGTGAAAGAATAAAATTCGATGATCTATTTATATATTGCGATGAGGGTACGGGAAGGGAAAAGGAAAGAGTGGGGAGGGGGGGCTCGTCTCGATAGTCGGATCGTTACGTGACACATATCCAGTGGATTAGAAAAAAAAAAGAAAAAAAGAGGAAAAAACTATCGACGACGGCGACGTACAATATAGGTGTCTATATCGATCTAGTTTCTACCCCACGCTCGCAAGGGAAAGAGAGATTTTTCGCTTTGTTTCTTCGGAACAGAGGGCGGGGGGGAAAGATGAGAATCAGCGAAGATGCGTGACGGAAAATACTAAAGAGACTTGACACCATTTTTTTCCCAGAAACAGAGAAAGAAAGAGAGAGAAAAAAAATATGGAAAAGAGTGAAATCCCTCGCTTTCGTCCGTTCGAGGCTAAAACTGAGAGGGAGACGCGATTCTAATTTTTCATTCGGGAACNCCCCCCCCCCCGCTATCGTAGAAAGCGCGAGCCACGATCTACGTATCGCGATCGAGCGGTGCGTCGGCATGCCTGATTTTTCACAAAATAAAATAAATCGACGAAACGAGAGCGAGCGAGCGATGGAGAGTCGGCGGGGAAATCGAGACGTTGGGAAGGAAAACAGAACGGACGCGAAAGTGATCTTTTTTTCCGGATAAGTCGGGACCGCGTTCTCGAACGTGACGAGAGAGAGAGANGAGAGA